CTGTTCAAATAAATGTTGAAAGAAAAAGTTAATCTGTTTACAGTTCTGTTTTATATGGTTGAAGAAGAAGAAGAAGAAGAAGAAGAAGAAGAAGAAGAAGAAGAAGAAGAAGAAGAAGAAGAAGAAGAAGAAGAAGAAGAAGAAGAAGAAGAAGAAGAAGAAGAAGAAGAAGAAGAAGAAGAAGAAGAAAGAAGAATAGAAGAAGAAGAAGAAGAAAGAAGAAGAAGAGAAGAAGAAGAAGAAGAAGAAGAAGAGAAGAAGAAGAATTGGGAGGGATGAAACCCTCTTTAATGGTCACACATGCAGAGCACACAGCACACACAGTGAAATGTGTTCTCTGCTTTTAACCCATCCTAGCACCAGGAGTCTAGCACTAGGAGCAATGGGCTATTGCACAGCGCCCGGGGAGCAATGGGAATGAGGGGGGAAGGGGGTGTCCGGTGCCTTGCTCAAGGGCACCATGGCAGGAGGTGAACTGGGACCTCTCCAAGTAGAAGTCCACACTCCAAATAGGTCTGGTCGGGGACTTGAACCGGCGACCCTATGGCTCACAGTCCAAGCCCCTACTGACTGCCATAGATTTACGGCCCGTCTACACTACAGGCGTCGAAAAAGCTTGAAGCTGGGCGTGTCTGAGGCTTGGCGATTTTTTGCGAGCAACGCGACCAACAACCAATCACATGAATCTCCCGCCCCCGACATACAAAGCAATAGCAATGTTAAAACGAAGTAAACTGGATATAAAATCCCCAAACAGGCGAAAACCTACCAGTTTCACCCACTGTCTCTGCCACCTCCCTCCATGCCTGGTTCCTCCGGTTTGTATCCCGGTAGATGAACAGAGACTGATCATACAGCACCGGGTGATTCACTACCGCTATAATGAATTTTCCCTCCATTTTTTTGAATATGAGGAAAAGACCTGCGTAGTCTCTCCCAGCATACACGCGGTTTGATTGGCTAGCTTGTACTGGCAGATTTGCATAAACGGGATTTCATTGGCTGACGCCAGCTTCGAGCAAGCATCGAGCCTCAAAAGTTGAACATTGTTCAACTTTTGACGCCGATAGACGCTCGCGATGCTTGCAACGCCTTGCCATGCTACCCACAATACAGTTCGGCGAAGTTTGAAAATATCCTACGTCACCCCATTCAAATGAATGGGCGAAGCGTTGAAAGCATTTTTTGACGCCTGTAGTGTAGACGGGCCGTTAGTCCCTAATTTTGCTCTCAAAATGGACCAGATTGATGCTTTTAACTTCAACATTTAAAAAAAAATCTTCCCGTGAAATCTTGCCCCCCGGACCCCCCTAGAGGAGATGAGGTCCACCACCTGCCCACACCCCCTGTTAAATTGTCTCACCCACATTGAGGATGCTTCCTACGCCCATGTTTTATTCCATGTGGCCAATCAGGCAAATTGGGTCCAAATGTTATTGCATCAATGATCTGTTAACATTAAAATCACTAAATATATGCCGTAACTATTTTGCTCTAGGCAACTCAAGGGCTCAGGTAATGTGATTACTATATGAATAATTGTCCAAAATAACATTAAATGCAGGGTTTTTTGTTAAGTAACATACTTTCGTCGCCGGCCGGCCGATACATGCCGCGCATTAAGTGGGCCTGTCTGTCAATTAATCCCCGGGTCACTTTTTCCCCCCAGTCCGCCCCTGATTGGTAATAATATTAATAAAAACAACAACGTTTGGGTTCGTTCGTTTAATATGATGAACGTTAACCAGTAAGCTTCAACAATCAACTCCAGCTCAACAAACCATATTGCAATATCTACGTTAACGTTATTTCTGGAACCAACTGGAAATGTGAGATTCATATTTTTCAGATACACAGATCTTATAGTGAGGTTAATCTATGGGTTAATCTCATACAGTCCTCTGCTCTTCAACACTAATGTGACGCTAGCTGTCTGCATCGTCGAGCATAGCTATTTTAAATTAACAATAACAATGCATACAGTTACCTAACTAGCAAACTAACTAATGTACAAGCATGACCTTATTTTACCAACCTCACAGAGAAGCCTTATGTTTTACAGTATAATCCTTCTTAATGTTTTACACTTCTCCATTATGTTTTAACTTGTATGCTACGGATAGCATCGTTAGCACAGATGTAGCTTCGTCTCGCTTGTTAGCTGAATAAAAAGACAAGTAAGAAATAAAGTGGGTTAGGGTTAGGGTTAACCCTAACCCTTTTTCTTCTGCGCATCAGAAGAAAAAGACAATCCCCGCCGGTACCGGTGGCAGATTACTTTTAGAATACTTTCTTTTTCCATAATAGATGGGTATGTTTTGGTGAACAGGAGACACTTGTTTTACTGTTTTAATGGCTTATCAAGAACTCAAACACAACATCTTGGTGTCATTCTGGACAGCTCTCTCATCTGCACCCCACATAAAAAACATCACCCGGACTGCATTCTTTGTCCTGTCTTAAAACCTTTCCTTAGAATATGTTATGAATTGTAAGGTGTCCTTGGGTGCTTTGAAAGGCGCCCCTAAATAGAATGAATTATCATTATTATTATTATCTGAAACAATGTAATAACTTTTAAAACTTTTTCCAGTCACTTGCCCCATGCATTCAGCAGCAGCAGGCCATTCACTTTGATTTTATCCCGTTATAAATGTCATCATTTCGACAATAAAGAAATGCTACATAAACGTTATCTTGCAAATTTTTATCTAACCATCTCCGTTTCTAACTTTCATTATATTTTAAAAGAGATCTCTCTTTCTCATCTGCGTGCGGGGGCGGGGCCTCACAGACACCTCACAGTAAAATGCTGCATCTCTCTCTCGTTCACAGACATGCTGCAGCGCTGTGCAGTGTGCACACAGTTCTGCCCGGGCCCGGCGCCAAAAGGGGGCATTGCCCCCTCAGTTGTATTCTTTGCCCCCTCACTTTGAGCATCATTCATCCATCGAAAAGTAAAATAAATGTCACAATTATTAAATAACTTTAAATAATTATTTCCCCCAACACACGTTACTATGTTTAGATCAGATATGTGGGCAGGCAGCATGGGCGGCGCCAGGATTTTTTTGCTGCAGTAGCTTAGCAGTTGCTACATGACAGCACGGCGTTGCTAGTTAATTTTCAAAATAAATAAACAAACAATACCAGTGGGCCAAGCACGAGCCTGTTCATATTGTAGCTATTCAAAATCACAGATTACGAGCCTTCAATGTCGAAAATGTTCTCTTTATTTTCTGGTAGGCCTATTGACGGCCACAGCCACACCTTACAGAACCAATCAATAACACTCATTATGACTTTTCCCCACACTCGAACACAACTCCTACCGTCTCGTACTCCCTCCACACACACTGGAAAACGCACACACACACACACACACACACACCTGGAAGGGGCGGTCTCTCACTAACTCCCACAAACAACATTGCCTAAATAACTTTACAAATGTACTAAACTGTGCACATCTGATAACTGACATAACTATTAACTTGGACACGCTACAATAATATCATTAATATTTACATTAAAACATTCCTTTGACACTTATAACATTACTTTGCAAGGTAAAAGCAACATTTGAACACTGTTTGTGTTTTCCTACAATATTTTTGTATAATAGGCGTGTGGTGCAGTGGGTTGACTTTGGATAAAAGTGTTTAACAAGTGACATATAATGTAATACCATTACACCCTAAGCATACCAGTACACAATAACGATCGTTCACTGTTTCAACTGGCATGCTGTGGCATTTAACCACACCGCAAACAGACAGACACACCCACACACACACGGATATCCGGCTCCGTTGGAGATTGACTTGTGAGAAATCTTTCCATTTTCGATCTGTGTTCATATACTGAGAATTATAACAACATTAGCCAACAGTTCACGCTTTAACTTACGACGACCCCTGATAGATCTCGCGAGAATGTGTATAAATATATATAGATGCATTTTCATAACAAAACAATGGGGTTGCTAAGCCGTTGCTAGGCCAATTGTTGGAGTTGCTATAGCAATTACATTTCCTTTCAACTCTCTGGTTGGTCTGGTGGTGTCTTGCCTTTGAATTCACTGAACATGGGAAATTACAATCCTGCCGTCAGTCCTGCCGTCCTCTCTAGTGTCATGATGAGGTTCAGGTAAAGCACGGTTAATGTATTATATATGATTGACTCAGTAATATAATATAATATACGTTACATGTAGTCCAACCCTGTGTATATCTCTCCGGACTGTCCACCAGCAAATGAAAAACACCCACTTCTCCGCCTTTTCCAAGGGACGAGGGAACCGTGCAGCAGAGTTTCCGTTAACATTGTTTTTCTTCTGACAGCCCAGCAGCAGGAGAGGTGGGGAGAGGGAGGCGGGGCTATTTCATCGTTATCAGAAAATGATCGTATAGATCGCTGCTAGATGAGGGCAGTGGGGGCTCTTCTTGGAGTCTGGCTTTTTTTTATAAACCAAAGTTCATTAGTGAACTTTGAGCCATCATTTATTTTTCAGGCAGCTCTCTGCCTCTCTCACGTTATTATGGCGCGCGCCGGAACCAACAATCAGTTTTTACTGTAAATGAGTTCGGTTCAGAGGATAAAACACATACAACATTAATTAAACTCGATATTTGTTCACTTGAATTTCACTTTGAATTCTTGGATATTCTCAATGGGTGAATAATTGTTGTTATAATAATAATAATTAAATAATTAAAAAAATAAAAAACATTTTTTTTTTAAATGACACCGAAACTTTCTCAGGGTGGGCCAATGAGTAAACTGGGTGGGCCTGGGCCCACCCTGGCCCTATGGTGGCTACGCCACTGCTTTGATGGTTTGTGACTTTACATGCATACAAACCTTCATAACACACAAGGGGACGGGTAATAACCAGAAAAGCATGACATGGGACCTTTAATATCAGGTCCCGCCCGCTCAGTTCAGCGAATCCCCCCCCCCCCCCCCCCCCCCCCCCTCCTTCACCCAGTCTCCGAGCACCAGCCCAGCCTCAGTCCGCACAGCCGCTGGCCACGTCTCAAAACACGGCGACACCGGGCAGAGGCTCCGAGCTGCGGGAGGAGAGGACTGAGCACTGGCTCCGGCTCCTGGCACCACGACCGAGAACACGGCTGAAGGTAAGACATTCTGTGGGTAAGGGGAAGACATTATCTCGCCCTTCTCTCCGACCAGGACCGTCTCTGGGCACCTCGGTGATCCGAGTAGTTACCGGGGGACCGGTGGAGGACGCTAGCGGACAAACATCACGTCTTCACTAAGAAAAAGAGCCGTGTGGGTCTAACGGCTTGCTGTTGGTTAATGCCTACATATTCTGAATCAAACTCTCCAAGCAGACTTTTAATAAAGTTGGAGTTGTGTTTGACGGAGGGGGCTCCATGACACCCATTTACTGTGGTCTGCACACACAGAGGTGGAACAATTACTCAGATTTCTAAGTAAAGTATCAGTGTAGGAATGCAATATATGCTTAAAGTACCAAAAGTAGGCTACTTCATTGTGCAGATTGTTCCATTTCAGAATAATATATATGATATGTTTTTTGATTGATCATGAAAGTGTTCTCAAAGCTGGTAAAGGTGCAGCTAGTTTGAATGACTTTGTATACTGCAGGGTAGCTGGTGGATTTACTCCAGGTGGAACTAAAGTCTGATTTAACACTTGATTATATTTCACATCATTCATCCACATCTGTGAAGTAACTAAAGGACGGTATTAAATAAATGTAGTGGAGTAGAAGAACACCATGTACCTCTGAACTGTAGTGGAGTAGAAGAACAAAGCAGCCTACCAAAAAACGGAATTCTTTAGATAAAGTACAACTATCTCAAAAGTGTACTTTAGTAGGCCTACAGTACTTGGTTACTATAATAATAATAATAATAATAATAAAGCTTTATTTATATAGCACTTTTCATACAGCAGGTGCAGCGTAAAGTGATTCACCAAATGTCACACTGGTAGTGCCAACATTAATTAACTGGGGTAATTCCAATCAAGAAAAATGAAGGTCTATGCTCTGAGGCATCCCAGGTTCAGCCTCAGTGACTCACCTTACAATAGACCCAGGGAGGGACAGGCTCATCTGGGTAATGTGAGTACCCTCTGTGGGGAAGGGTCTGAATTGCTGGGCAGTATGGTAGAATGTATTAGGGTAAAACAACAAAATATTGGATGATCTTTCTAAATTTGATTATATATGGCAACATCAGACATATCTCATTTGAAAACCAAACGAATTCGGAGATGTATCTTATGTAAACAGAGATCTCCAATCTGACAGCAGAGGTAATGAAGAATGATGATGTCGTGTCATCAATGATCCCATCACTGATCACTCAACGAACAAAAACCTTCAGCATGACATGAGCGTTTTATTTAATTCACCCAAACATCAATCTAAATTGTCAATATGCTGTTTGTTCTATCATAATCCGGATCTCGCATAGCTAGTTCTGACGTTTAATATTTCATTAAGATGTTTGCCTTTAGTTAACAGCAAGATAGCCTTTGTCAAAAAGAGATGACAAAGTGGGTAGTAGTTTGAGGATATTCCTGAAGAAGACAGCCTGTCTTAGTGTATCTGTCCTCTGAACACAATGCCCTGCATGGCTTTATATGCAGCTGCGTGACACCCTGAAACACCGTGAGAAGCTTCTTGGGTAATTGTTCAAGACTTTAGACAGCTGAGCACAGCATGTTTCTGGGACACTGCATCCTCAGAAATAAGCAGAACATCAAAAACTTGTAACTGCGTCTTTGAGCACTTGGAAAAGCGATATATAAAGTAAAAGTATTATTATTATTATTAACTGATACAGTAGGAATACAGTATTATTTCCTGCAGATCCATTTTGTAACCTACCATTAGTGTCATTTCAGTCAGACTATTGTTTAACTGAGTCGCTGAGCTATACTACTATACTAAACTAAACTATACTATATTATACTATACTATACTATACTAAACTATCCTATACTTTATTAACTAAACTATACTATACTTTACTATACTATACTGTCCTATAGGTTGATGTAAGTGGCTTTGGGTGAACAACATGTAATGTAACAGGAACAGGAGAAATGTTCTGTTCTGCCAGTTAGAGGCTATTGACCGGCGTCTCTGTTGGTGAGGAAGCTCTCTCCTGGGCTGATCTACAGTCCCCCCCACACTTATTGGAGCTGTCCTCTTTTTTTACAACCTTTTCAGACCATGTGATCCAGCATTAGTTTGTAGATGGTGTTTTTTTATTAGCAAACCACATTGTGTTTGTTAGTGAATCATCTCCTATTATTTTAAAATCAATTTTCTAAAAAAATGTGTATGATAACAACCTGCTACTAAGCACACAGGCATCTTGTTAAAGTTATCTTATCTTAGCTATCTCTTATATTTAGCGGAGGAAAACAATTGTGACATCAGTTATGACATCACTTACGCGACTCTGGGATTTGTAGTCTTTCTAGTTGCGTATTTTTCATAGTCTTATATTTCAACAGTTTTACGACAAACTGTGACTTTTTTAACATGGAAATTATTTTTGTAAGATTGACAAACATCATATGTGTAATTCGTGGCACAATTCAAACGGGATCGAAAGATACGTTTTCTCTCTCCATTGACTTCAATACATACTTTTTCCGAAATAAGGTCCCATGGACCGGAAGTAGATGGGCGTGACTTCGCCACTCTATACATCCATGATACACACTCACACATGCTCACTCACACATGCTCCACAGCAGCAGGGGGCGCTACTGAGTCCATTGGGAAGGCGGGAGGTTGAGCAGAGCATGGAACAGCCCTTGCCAGTCTGATGGCAGGTGTTTCTAGCTATCCAGCGATCTGGGTCAGTGTTATAGTGATAATATTATAAACAAGGTGATTTTAGCGATCACAACGAAAACAGCCAAGACACATATTGTTGTAGGCCTAGCCTACTTGTGACGTTGTGTACTTGTAAAACCTATGCTGAATTTGTCTCTGAAACATGATTGATTAGAAAAATGTTATGTGTTTGTTTGATAAATACGTTTTTTCTTTGCAAAACTAAATGCATTAGTTTGTAGATTCAAACTTTGAAGGATAGTCCTGACACGGTCTGTTTTCTTCTTTTTTTTCCACTGTTTATTTAGAGGCTGGGATTAGCTCCTGAGCAGGTGTAATGGGGGTCTCTGCATTTAAGTTTACCAGCCCTCAAATCATTTCCGGAGAGTTGTACCATCCACTCTCTATGGAAAAACGCTCATAGCATATGTTGCTTTTTTCCAATTCTTTGCCACAAAATTTGAATAATCATTTTGGAAATAAAGACATTTCATGTTATATAAGCAATAATAGATAAATGAATGAACACTGAATATATAAAACACACATACATTTCCATGCATTTTTCTTTTGGCACACATACTTGTGGCATGTGCACATGTGGAAGGAGAGCTTCTGGTCCCTTTAGTACTTGATGTTCTCCCTCTCCTTCTTTCAGCTCACCTTCACCTGTCTGTAGCCTGGGAGATAATGATAAGATAAGATATTAAACCTAAAGGTAAAGTCTGTAAGTATTCAAATCATAAACTGCTGAGGTAAATACAATATAAAACATCAGGACAATATGCTTTACATGTTTTATTGCAATAATGTAAAGTTAAAGGCAGGGGAGAGAGCAAGGTTCACATTGAGTTTTACAGGAGGATTTTGAACCAATACACCAAAGGATACATTGAGACATTCTCCTTGCAGTTAAATTGTGGAGTATTTGATAAAAAATGTCATAATGGAGGAAAATGTTACAATCTAAAGTTTAACTTCATATTGCTACATTGTGTGTACCAAAAATTATTTGCAAATATAAAAATGTTCGTACCATAAACATACCATTTTACGGCATTACGTTGTGCAATAGCCAATAGATTTAAGATTATAAATCAGAGGACATTTGCATGAAGTCATATGAACACAGCTTATCACTGTCCCAGTGAGAACACACAGGCCTCTCACACTGAAGTGTGTGCTGCCTTAGCTTCTCAGTGGTGAGTGCTGTGTTCCAGCGCTTGCTTTAGGCAGGTGCTACACTGTTCACAACTTTAGGAAACAGCTTGTGAAACTGAAGATAATACGTTTTGCTCAACAACCTAAACATTGTTTGATTTGCTTACGTTTAACATATCTTTTTTTGTGCTCTCGTTCTCTATCTCTATCTCTCTTCCACCCTCAGCCCTTTCTATTCTTACAGCTGAGGGAACACACAGCTCCACAGAGGGTGAAGATAAAAAGCTCCACATAAAGCAGCAGAAAGATCGTCGGCCATGATGCCCCGCTGCAGAGTGAATCTCAGCACCATGATCTTCCTGGTCATCCTCCAGGGGGCGGCGGTGGTGCTGTTCTGCGGCTGGTACGTCCAGCTCAGCCCCTGCGGCTCCCCCCCCTCCAATGGCGGCAAAGTTCATGTCCTGCTGCTGTCCTCCTGGAGATCAGGCTCGTCTTTCGTGGGGCAGGTGTTCAGTCAGCACCCGTCTGTCTTCTACCTGATGGAGCCAGCGTGGCACGTGTGGACCAAGCTGCAGAAGCACGGGGCGCGGGCGCTGCGCATGGCGGTGAGGGATCTGTTACGGAGCGTGTTCCAGTGCGACATGTCTGTGATGGAGGCCTACATGCCGGAGCAAATCAACATGTCCTTTTTGTTTATGTGGAGTCACAGCAGAGCGCTGTGCTCACCGCCGGCCTGTCCTCTCACCCCCCGCAACCAGTTCAGCAACCAGACCCAGTGCTTCAAGGCCTGTGATGCTCAAGGCCTGCAGGGGGCCAAGGACGCCTGCGGCAGTTACAGTCATGTAGTACTAAAGGAAGTGAGATTCTTTGAGCTAGAATCCCTCTACCCGCTGCTGCAGGATCCAAACATAGACCTCCGCATCATCCACCTGGTCAGGGACCCGCGGGCCGTGGTGCGGTCCAAAGAGGCTTCAGCCAACGCCTTCGTGTACGATAACTCTGTGGTCTTGGAGCAGAGGAACGTCCCAGCGGCAGAGGTGCAGTACCAGGCCATGCAGGAGATCTGCCGTAGCCACGTGCGCATTCATGAGAGGGCCATCCTGAAGGCCCCTCCGTTTCTGAAAGGCCGCTACAAAATGGTGCGCTACGAGGATGTGGCGCGCAACCCTCTCGACGAGATAAACGCCATGTATGAGTTTGTAGGTCTAGAGATGACCGAACAGCTGCAGGAATGGATCTTCAAGGTGACGCACGGAAAAGGCAAAGGCTCCAAGAAAGATGCCTTCGAAATCTCGTCACGAAACGCCGCTGACGTCTCGCAAGCTTGGCGCACCGCGCTGCCTCACAGCAAGGTCAAACGCATCCAGGAAGTGTGTAAAGGGGCCATGTCGTTGCTCGGGTACAGAACGGTTAACAGTGAAAAAGAACAGAAGAGGCTTGACATAGATCTACTCGTGCCCCGGGAACCGTATCAGTTCAGCTGGTTGCCAGCTAAGACAGAGCATCCCGATAATGCTTAAATTACCTTCTGTTTCTGAATAGCGAAGACACCAAAAGACTACACTGGACTGAAGTCCATGTTCTTCATAGTCTTTAATAAGTGCTACAACTGAGGGAACACTGGCCTGATTTCCCTGGTTAAAGCTTTGATTTGTCAGTAGAGTGATGGGATTTAAATGTAAAATGACAGAACAGCAATATTGAATGCAAGGGCCAACAAATAATGCCCCGGCCACACGAGGACGAAAACGGCTAAACGCATAGGATTAACGCAAACGCAATCGCAAAAAAGCTTCCGTCCACACCATAGGTCCACACGCAATAGTCATCCGGATAGTGTCTGTCCACACGAGACAGCTCCGTTTAGCTCCAACCGCTGGAGAAGCTGCAGTACATATGCAGGAGCCTGTACGTGGCGCTGTAACTTCCTCCACAAAAGCAGCGAAGAAGCATGGTTGTCATGGTTGCCCTTCTGTTTATTCTCCGCGGTGGGGGCCGAGGGAACCGGGCAGAGTTTTTCGCCAGTCAACGTGTATTAAAGTTTAAATCTTCCGACAAAATTATAAAAGTGCCGGTCAAAGGTCTTCTTTGTTATTTATTGAGCTTTAAAACAAATGAATAACGAATCTATATAATATAATAATAAAATACATGGAGCCTCTCTTTTTCCTCCCTCTCTTCGGACAGCGTCAGTGTCTGTTTCATGCAGCAGCTGATCCAGTAATGAGTGACCCGGCCGACATTAAAAATAAACATATTTATAACTAGTTTAGGTAGTTTGAGAGGTGTCTCCGTCCTGTAAGATTAGACTTCACTCGCGTTTATGTCCATATCGAGAGAAAGATAAATAATCTGAATTCAGTGTGCAGTTTACTTTGCACACTTTGACACGGGGGTGAGCAGCAGAGGTGGGGAGAGGCGGGGCTATTGCCTCATCATTATCAGAAAATTATCGTATAGGGCGCACACACTGAGCCGTTGGACCCCCCAGAGCGTTGCGTATGCCGTTCTATCCACCTTGGGACCCGTTATCGTTTCCGCAGTCGTTTAGTGCCGTATTCGGTCGTCCTCGTGTGGCCGAACGGTCTATATGACACTAAACAGTAACGCAAACGACCGTTTTCGTCCTCGTGTGGCCGGGGCATAAATGTATAACCAAACTGGAAGACACATTAACCCAGACCGTTAACATGCATCTTAGCCAATAAGATCACAAGTGCACAGCTTTAGAAATGTAAGCAAAACCAAGACACTGTGGATCCCACCATCAAACCACTTGCCAGGGTGGTCTGGGATTTGACCACATATATTTGTATAGCGTATCAGAATGTGTCTTGATGCGTCTCTCAACAACATAAAAACAGGAACAATTATCATTAGAACCCCTCACATTGTTTTCTTCCTCCTTTCCTCATCTCCAGTTGGTTCTAAAATGTTAATAGAATAACGACATGAAGGCTTCATTCTGAACCAAGCGGGAAACTCTATCTAACAGCAGCCCCTAGATGTTCATACTGCCCAATGCTTACCAAAGAGAATTGAAATGTACCCAGAGCAGCTCACTGAGAGACAACTCAACAATATATCTTACACTGGCTTTGTTCACAACGTCTGAAAATATCAATGAAAATCATCATGAAAATAATTCAGTTGTAAACAAGAACAGATTATTACATGGTACTTGGTCTGCACAAATTATATATTTTTAAAGCCACTACGCATACTTTACACTTTGTTTCTGAGCCGGAGTTTTCCACAGTGTTGGGGACAGTCAGAGCATATTTAACAGGGCAGGATCCCTGCCAGTCCTACTGCTGCCATCCCTCCCTGGCCCAGAGAACTCCTGTTAATTCACTGCATTTGAATGCACATTGTTTGGAGCTGGGCCCCATGCCAGTGTCCCCTGAGGGCCGGATCACTGATGACGCTCCCTCAGAGGAGGAGAGCCAGAAGTTTTCTAGGGTTTTTGATCTGCATCTGAAGGTGCGTGGGGGGCAGGAAGTACCCTTACATCGTTTGAGAGGTGCAGAGGTCTGATAATAGCGTGATGAAGTGCATTTGATTAATCGAAGAGAAGAGAAGTCTGTCACTGAGCTTCATTGGAGCTGAAGTCAGGGTGAATGGTTGAACCTCCATCCTTTTAGGGTAGCTGCTGTTAAAAAACATCTTAACATTTACTTGTTACACATATCAAATTAGTCATTCCTGACGGGGCACAATGTTTCGCTGTTTAGGAGTTGTATAAAAGTGGTAACTAGCTAACTCTTAATCTTCTTCCTGGAACACCCCAGTTATATTTGTTTACAGAATTTGTTATTTTTCCTTGGTTGATTAATCATTACACTGACACAGTAGATGGTGTTCTGAGTAAAATACTTTTGACAATGATAAAGGATCAAAGCTTTAGTGAATATGTTAGGGATAATATGCAGTGAAGCGGTCATTCATGAAAAAAGAACACCGACAGGGGGATCAGGAATCCGACGGCAGGCGGGCAGTGTTCTTTATTCCCCGTTAGTGTTTACTTCCTGTCTGTCTTCTTCTGCTGTTCCCTTTAGTGTTTACTTCCTGTCTGTCTTCTTCTGCTGTTCCCTTTAGTGTTTACTTCCTGTCTGTCTTCTTCTGCTGCTCCCTTTAGTGTTTACTTCCTGTCTGTCTTCTTCTGCTGTTCCCTTTATTGTTTACTTCCTGTCTGTCTTCTTCTGCTGTTCCCTTTAGTGTTTACTTCCTGTCTGTCTTCTTCTGCTGCTCCCTTTAGTGTTTACTTGCTGTTGATTTCTCTGACGTCTGTCTTTTAACCTCTTTCCTTCTCTTGCTCTGTTTTTCTTTTCTTTACTGGGGACAGTAGCCATCATGAATCCAAAGTGTTGCACTCTCCACAAATATAAACATAATTATTGAAAAAGTCCACAGCCGTTAAATGGACCAGACTTTGACTTGATCATCTTTAGCAACAGTCTGTTAGTAAAAATAAGTAGACCTCTGGAATGTCCAAATTGACCAATCAGAATCAAGTATTCAACTAAGCTTTGTAATGAAGATTGTTAAATCATGTTGATTTACATCTTACCAGCCAAATTAACTACTTTTAGTAGTTAGCATTTCTATTATAAAGTGCTTTCTGATAAGAGGTACAATTCTCTTCTTCACATTAGTTTCCTTTAAACCTAAACTTGAGCATTGTTTGATATCTATTGAATGTGCAGCAGGCTGTGGGAATAGTTGTTGGAAGAAACAGCCAGAGTTCTCTGAGTTGAAACGTCTCTCAGCTCAGTGTGGTAGTTTACTGCCTGCCACTCACCATTCTTGTTTCCAGCAGCTGTTTAAAGAAAATCACAGATGGAGCCACAGAGCATCTAGAATGAAGAAACAGGACCTCAGAGGCAGGAATTATATTGTGACTCTAAGGATTTCTCAAGGGATAAGAATTAAGCATTTATAGGACAATTCCAACATATTCACATCAATTAAAAGCAGCTCATCACAACATACTAGAATGCCCTGAGCATTAGTGTGTTACGTTGTGGAGTTGTTGTTTGGCTGTACCACATCTTGTGTGTCAGTTTGACCCACGGTTTATTTAATAACAATCGCCTACTGGAGATATGTACCTGCTTAAGGTAAATATTACATTAACATTCAACACATACAGTAAAGGTACTGTGTTGAAAGAGTTAACATGTCTGAAGATGAGAGTCCGCCTGCCTGCAGGGAACATATGGAACAGAGCTGGCTGAGTACATTGTGTTCTCTCAGTGTCTGCACAAATGCTGGTATGTATGGATTTCCCAGTGGACAGACTTTTGAATACTGTGCTTGTTTGCTAGGTATCCCACCCTTTGCATTAATAATTATGTTTAAAATAAAGTGTACAATAGCACTGGTATGGGTGTTAAGATGTCATTATACTGTAGGGAGTTTTTTTCTCTTTGTTTCTTAAGTCAATCACACATGAAGAGTGGGGATACCATGATGAGTTTCTGCAGTGTGATGCTTTAACCAAAAAGTGATCAGCAGTCACATGTATATAAACTGATGATGTTTAATGTCCTGACCTGGAGAAGTTATTATTATGTAATTTGTTTTTTACTGTGGAATTAATGACAAGTTGGTGAAAATGTTGCCACTGATTTAATGAAGTGCCTGCACATTGAACATGTGTCGGTGTGCAATGTGAAACTTGTGAGACTGTTATCTTTAACCACATCTCCTTTATTTAGTTTGAAGAGTCGGTGCCTTTCAGAGCTGCCAGTTTGTTCATGTATTTATATGAAGATGACTTGAAGTGGGAACTATACGGTACAAATAACTGCAATAAATATTTACTTGTCACTTGTTGGTCTGGTTTATTCTGTTTAACTGAAATCTGGTTTGTAAGAAGATAAGCTGATCTTCTGATCAGTTACGTTTTGGTGCCATCTGTTGGCGGATCCCACAAAGTGATCCCTTAGATAGGAAAACCTTTTAACACACATGCAGCATATGTACATAAGATTTCAAGGAAGACAACAAGGAGGTAAAATATGCAGGATAATACAAAATAATAATACTCAAAAAATTCACAACAGATAACTCACTCAGTAAAAGCAAAAAAGACACAAGACAAAATGAATGAATACAATAAAATATTGAAAACTATAAAATGGGGCGAAACCAGTTCAGGCAGTCAACTCGAGCTCCAATGATACATTAACACGTGAAGCACCTCGTCCCTCTTACAACCAACCAATCACATTCTCCTTAACTTGCCGCGCTATTTAAGCTGCCAGGTCTGCCTCTGCCTCGCTAATGCTGCTGCTGCGTTCATGCTCCTGCGTTTCATGTTGCTGCTGCTCGCCTGCTCGCCTGCTGCTCGCCTGCTGCTCGCCTGCTCGCCTGCCCTGCACAAACTGTTAAGGCCTGTGTTAAACTAATAAAGTATGCGCAGTCATTTTTCTTCTCTCATCCATTTATTCAGGGAATGAACCAGCATGGCAGTAATCAACATGAGACATAGCGCTCCGCGCTTATCATGCTTATGATGTCACAACGGGACACTCAACCTTAACTCTATTGGTTACATGAAAACAAAACAACAATATAATAAGGCTTCTCTTTTGCCTTAACAATGTGAATACACTCGTGCACTTTTAAGTGCCAAACATGTCTTGATCAAACCTCTTTAGTTGTAGCTTTGTAGCTGGTTTAGTCATGACATCAGCAATCATTAACTCAGTAGGGCAGTACCCTAAAGTTAACTTTCCGTTATTTACATTTTCCCTAATGAAATGGTACTTAATATCAATGTGTTTGCTCCTTTGCCTGTTTACTGGGTTTTTGGCAAGGGCAACCTTGGT